TTCAGGAAAGAAAAGCCGATGGGATGGATCCAAGACTAGGCGTATTCTGTGGCAGCGGCGGAGGAAGCGGAAGAGGATACCCGTACGGGAATGGAAACAATCCTTATGGTCCTAATTATCCCTACGGCAATAGATATAATCCTTATAATCCATACGGCAGCAGATATGGACCGTACCCATATGGATACAACCCGTATGGATATGGTAACCCGTATGGATACAGACCGCCATATGGAAATGGGCCGTATGGAGCACGTAGACCACCATATGGCTACTACGGATAAGGCTCCAGTCTTAAATTAGACAACTGAAGACATTACACTGGTTTTGATGGTTGTAGTGTTGCTTTTTCTTCTTTTTTTAAGAAATAAATTGATTTTTTTTGTCGTCATTGTTAAGGATCTAAATATGAAGGAATAACCCCAATGTCACAAATTAAGTGACAATGGTTTCTTGAGTTCATCACTTTTTGTGTCAGTGCTACTCTGCAAAATCAGTAGCCGGCTCAGCAAATCCTTGAAAAAATCAATGTCAGGTGTAATGCATAGTGTTATTCTACTATTTCATGCCGTATGGCACGGCGCTAAGTCTGCATTACAGACGCACCTGGCTGTTGAAAACAAAGGGTAGATAGCTCGCCATTGAACATTTTAAAAAGACCTTCTATAACAATATTTGAATTCAGACTAGTGCACAGAAGTGTTCCCTTTCAGGCTTACAGCTTGCTAGGATTTTCAAAAGCTAGCTAACGCTCTTGTTCATTCTGATACCTTAGAGTTAGCGCTGAAATCAGTGGAAAAAGAATCTTGATCCAGTGAGAGAAATCCAACCTTATGTTTTCCTAATGAAGTTTCAATTTAGTTGAAATAACAAAGAGGGCCAAAATGAAATAAAGTCAATATACTTTATGGACTCCGTTATCTTTCCGGTCGAGATCGATTCACCAAGTATAAGAAAAAAACGATGAAGAATCTGGCCTTGATCAATTTTTGTTCGAAGTGCGCCACGCACTTCGGTTCCATTTTAGTAGATTGTAATTGCATCTAAA